CAGTAAGTTAAGGTTGATTTATTTTTTTTTTTTTTAGCTAAGGATTGTGGTTTACAACATGGATTATAGAACTAGACTGGGTTTGAATCTCAGATTAACTACTTATGAACTGTGTGACCATGGGCAAATTACTTGTTTCATGTTCCAATTTTCCTTTTGAAAAATGCAGATTGTTCTCTTAATTCCTATAGCTTTATAATAAATCCTGATACCTGGTAAACTGTGTCTTTCCACTATGCTTTTCAAACGTTTCTTAATTTCTCTTGGTCCCTTTTTTAAATACATATTTTTTGAATCAACTTGTTACATCTCTCTCTCTCTCTCTCTCTCTCTCTCTCTCTCTCTCTCTCTCTCTCTCACACACACACACACACACACACACACACACCTTGTAACTCTCCTGATTAGAATTGCTTTGACATTATAGATTAATATAGGGGGTGCTGTCATCTTTGTAATATTTAGTTTTTCATTTATTTCTCCACTTAATTAGATGTTTTGTAATTTTCTCAGTATGTTTTTTTAGTCTTCTAGCTGATCTCTTATAATTTTTTTTTTGAGAGAGATTTTTGTTATAGGGTACATGCACTCATCAATGAGAGAGAGAGGGACAGAAAGTGAGAAATCACCCCCAGGGGTGATGGCCATGCCGCAATCCCTTCTCCTTTATTCTCCTCTCAGAATTTTGGGCACACACGCACACACGCACACACGTCTGGCATGAGTTTGAAGCCACCAAGTGCAGGACTTGAACCATTGTTGGCCACGTGGGACTCCAGCGACGTAACCATTATGCCATCTGTTGGTCCCAGTACTTTGTTCAATGTATCCTAAGGTATTGGTAATTTTAAAAAACATATTAAATTATTTATTTAATTTAATGTATTTATTCACTTATTTTATTTTGACCAGAGACACCCACATACACACAGAGATGGAAAGTGAGAAAACAAGCCACCAGGTCCGGGATTTGAACCATGGTTGGCTATGGAGGAGTGTCCAGCTTCTTAATTACCACACCCCCTGCTGGTCCCATGTTGGTAATTTTTTGATGATATTACATGTAGCATCATCTTTCTTTTTTTTTTTGATGTTTTTTTGCCATAGGGTGCATGCACTCACTGGAGAAACAGAGAGGAAAATGAGGGAAAGTGAGAAATCACTCCCTGGGAGGATAGGCATGCTACAGTCTTCTCCATTCTTATCTGGGACTTTTGGGCATGCATGCACATGAGCCTATCATGAATTTAAAGCTGCCAGTTCCAAAACTTTGAACTGCAATTGGCCATGTGGGAGTCCATAACCACCAGACTATCTGTCGGCCCTTATGGTTATCATTTTTAATGTTACATTTTGTTTGCTGATGTTTAAGAATGGACTTGATATTTTATTTATATATATATATATATATATATATATGTATGTATAATATACATATTCATATATATAAATTATATATATATATGTGTGTGTGTGTGTGTGTGTGTGTGTGTGTGCATATATATATATAATATATTTATTATTTATTCCCTGTTTTCCAAAAGCATATTTCTGGAGGAGTAGAAGTTCTTCTAATTTAAATTTAGTGGCATTCATTAGTAAAATATCTGTGCCTGGAGTTCTTTTGTGGGTAAATGATTAATAACTTAGTTCAATTTCTTCTATAGATATGGGACTATGGGACTATATTTACATTTTCTATTTAATCTTGTCAGGTTTGGTCATTTGTATCTCTTAAGGCAGGAGTGTCCAATCTCCAGACCATAGACTAGTACTGGTCCTTATTATTACATTGTAATAATAATAAGAAGAAAAATAAAGCAATGCACTTCAACCATCTGGGAACTACCCTGTCCCTCCCCACCACAACCCCATCCCCATCTGGGGAAACACTGTCTTCCAGGAAACCTGTACAGGATGTTAAAAAGTTGCAGGTTGCTGTCTTTAGGAATTTGTCCATTTCATCTAAGTTGTTGAACTTACTGGCATAAAGTTTTTCTTAATTACCTGTCATTATGTCTTTAATGTCTTTAGCATTTGTAATGGTGTCTGTCTTACATTTCTGATAATGCTAATTTGTGTCTTCTCTCTCTTTTTTATTTTTTATCATTGAGATTTCACTTATCTTTGCTAAGAACCTGCTTTGGGCTACAGTGTTTTAAAAATTTTGTCCCTATCTGATTTCATTTACTTCATTATTTCTTGCTTCTTGTTACTGCAGGAGACACACACACACACACATATATAAAACACAAGTATATATATTTAGAGGTTAAGAATGTCCTGATTTTTACTTTTAATAGAGAAAAAGAACTCTTCCACATAGGTGTAAGTCTTCCCTCTACTTCCATAGAAGTATCTACCTCTGTTATTGTTGTTATCATGTTGTATTTTAATTAATTACCTGTAATATCTCACTTCCGATACTGTTTCAAGATCTTTGAAAGAAGATCTTATGGGTCTTGTGTGTATTCCCTATTATAGTCACAGAGTCAGCCACATTTTGGATTCAGTATTATAAGGCCGATTAAAACCTCTGAAATCTATTACATTTCTTTTTCTCAGGAGTTAGACTAGCAGTTTTTATGTGCATGCTAGCATTGGCAAAATAGGTTCATTTACATTTGTGAATTATAAATGTGAGAAAGAAACACTTGCAAAATTCAATGAGCCTCTTGGCTTCATAGAAAAATACATTTATGGAGTTTGGCTATTCTATTGATTTCAGATCTGACTTATTTTCGAGTGTTGGTTTTTCTACCCAAAAGAAATGTTTCTGTAATAAGTGCTTTATCCAAGATAGTAAGTCATAATTATTTTCTCCTTTACTCTAAGCTATTTCCGAGAAAGAAGAAATGTTTCTACCTCAACTGGAAAATCTACAACGTTGCAGAGTGAGTTGATACATTTAATTATTTAAAGTCTCTGTAGGACATTGCAAACTGAGTTGATACATTTAATTGTTTAAAGTCTCTAGGACATTACAGAATGAGTTGATACATTTAATTGTGTAAAGACTTTGTAAATTTCTTAACACCAACTTGATGGTCTTAACTGTGTAACAATTATGTTTGAGAAGGCAGTCCACCTGTGGTTTTGGGGAAAATGGGAATAATCGTGTGTCAGATGCTTTTAAAGGTGAGTGAGTGAAAGACTGTAATCTACACGCAGGCTCCTGGAAATTTGCACACGCCTGTGTATGACGATCTTCTCATACAGGTTTCATTTGTCATTAGCCACAGTTGAAGGCATTCAGCAAAATTAAATGGTTTCTGGTAGTCTGAGCTATAGGACAAAGATCTATGGCAAGTAATTTTGCCATGGTAACAGGAAAGAGCTGGTATTTTTGCTCAGGGAAATTGATCATTGATGGAGGCTTTTCTTTCGCTTTGAAAATTTTTCTTATACCAGTTCAGGGGCATTGTTTGTAACAATAAGATGGCAAACATTTAGCTACTGAACCTCTACAAAAAAATTTGCCGTGGCAGAAATGCAATTTTTGAGAATTCGTTTTGTAGGACTGTGTAATTTATGGCTGCCAGGAATTCTTTTGAAATAATTTGTTTACCGGTATCTTAGTAGCTAAGATAATGGAGGAATTGCATTAATGGCATTCTAATATTTTGAGTGATAACTGGCTGTTATGTTATTTAGTGAACTTTTTGTTGAAAATCTGAATAGAATTAAGATCAGTGTTCTGCCATTAGGAATGTTCTCTTATTTGGGAATTAGCTTTATGGCAGGATAATTCCAGTCATAGGTACTGGAGTTGGTTATATAATGTGGGCTTTAGAGGTTAGCAAGAATTTATATGACAGGACGCATTTTCGGAAACAGTGAGTTAGGTGTCTTTTTTTCTTTTTTCTTTTTTTTGCCATAGGGTGTGTGCAGATTGATGGAGAGAGTAAGAGAGAGGGCAAGTGAGAAAGCCCACCACATGGGATATGGTCACACCATAATCCCTTCTTCTCCATTCTCCTCTTGGGATTTGGGGCACACATGCACACATGCTCGGTATGTTTTTTAGGCTGCCAGGTCTAGGACTAGACCATGCAGTTGGCCATGTGGGATCTGGCTGCCTTAACCACAGGCCACAGGCTGGCCCTGTCATGGTTTTGAAGTAAGGAGTATATATGGTGTGCACCATCTTAAGACAAACACAGAGAGAGCTGGTTTGAGGGCAAAGCATTTGGAACATAGTTTTGGATTCTCATAGAATAAAGTTTAAGTGGGGCGAGCAGGGGGTGTAGTGGTTGTCTCTGGACTCCCACATAATCAACCACAGTTCGCATCCTTGACCTGGTGGCCTAAAAATCATGCCAGGCATGTGTGTGTGCATGCCCAAAATCCCAAGAGGAGAATGGAGAAAGGGGCTGTTGGGGGGCCATCTTTGTATGTGTGGGGGATGATTCCCTTGATCTGTCTCTTTGGAAAAAACACTCACTCTATGGCAAAAACAATAAAAAATAAAGTTTAAGTTGTGACATTGCTATAAAATGATTGAACCCATGCTTTTTTCCTTTTTAAAAATATTTTATATTATTTACATCTTTCCATTCTCATTCTATAATTTCTCCAAAAGATTCAAATGAAGAGAATTCATCTTCCATCTTTCCTTATGGAGAGACCTTTCTCTTCCAGAGACTAGAAAATTCCAAGGTTAGTCCCATACGTTGTATTTATTTATTTTTTTTTTCCATAACCAATTCTTTGCTCTTGGCCTACACATGCCTCTTCACTTTCCTTTAAGCTGTTCGAAGCATGCATTATATGGAGGAATGACAGCTCTAGTCAGTAAAATTTCTATTTATTAAAATGATGGTAAGTCTGTATCTTTCATTTTATTTCAAAAATGCATTTTTATATTTATTTTCGGAATGCAGGATAGAAACTTAAATTTTTTTCCACAAGACACTTTAATTTAGAAAAGACATAAAGCATAAAAAAACACTGTAGATTTTGTTTGGCCTCATATCCGAGTGCAGACTCCTCCCAGTATAGACTTCTTGTGGTTTGTATATTTCACTTGTTCAGGCTGTCGCTCTGTCTTCCCTTGCTAGGACTTCAGTCTTTGACTCTTTCTTGATCTTGGTAACAGAAGTTGGAAGAAAAAAGTAGAGCAGGGAGAAAGGCACATGGTTTTGATTAACATCTGTTATTTTTCGTTCTCAGTTGAAATGGTAGCTTATTAATGATTTAGGTAAAATAATGAAAAAGGCATCAAAAAGCTACTGTTTAATACAGTCTACCTAATTAAATTTTTTTTACCGGAAATTAATCTAAGTAAATAGACATTTGTTTACTTAAGTTAAACTAGATATTTGGGTATTGATTGAATATTGTTACAGTAAAAAAACAACAACAACAACAACAACAAAACCCAGCAACTAAAAACCAGAAAGAAAAATGTGTGTGTATGTGTATATGTGCATGCATGAGTATGTATACATATACACAGTTTTTTTCTTTTTTTAATAGAAGAGATCTATAAAAAATGAATTTTGGACCCATGAAGAAACGCTCAAAGGGGAAGCCACTAATTCAAGAAACACTTTTTTCATCAAATCGAGGTATGAGCTCATGATCGATGAATTCTTTAAAGAAAATTTTATAATATGTTGATTTCTTACTCTCTGCATAATACTCCATTTCTATGAAACTAGTTTATGTTGGTAAGTTCAAATCTTTTCTTGTTGAAATGTTTCCATGAAGGTACCCCTTTGTAATAATTGAATTATAGTCTGTAAATCCATTAGATAAGGACATTAGATAGCAGATTATTTTTGTCTTTTCTTCATTGGATTCATTCCTAACTCCCCAAGTGGAGCATAGGTAGTGACCATGACTGCACCTTAAAGATGAGTATTTATTTATGTTACCATAAGGAGAGAGCGATTGTGTACAGTGTCACTATGTGAAATCCAAAAGTTTTACAAATGTATCCTTTTGAGTTTTTCTTTCTGTTTGTTTTTTTTTTTTTTTTGAAAAATTTTTGCTATGGGGCTCACTACTCAGTGGAGAGACAGAGAGAGACAGAAGGCAAGAAATCACAACCCCCCCCCCCCATGGGGATGGCCATGCCATAATCCCTTCTCCTCCATTCTCCTCTTGAGATTTTGGGCGCACACACACTCTGCGTGAGTTTTAAGCTGCTGTGTCCGGAACTTGAGCCATGGTCAACTCGGTGGGAGTCCAGTGATGGAACCATTTCACTTTCTGCTGGTTCCTTTGTTAGAGTTTTAACACTGACAATTATCTAGTTATTTAGATCACACCTAAGCAGAAATTATAAGCATTAACTTAAATTTTATATATATTTTTTACTTTATTGGGATTTGACATTTTGCATCATTCTTAACATTATCTGGTGTTTATTTTTATTTTCTGTTTATCTTTTGTTTTCCAAGGCTAGTAACATTTAGCTTTCCTTAAGTTCATCTAAATAAATGAGTATCTTCAGTGACCATTTTGTTATGAACTTAATATAGTGCAAAATATCAAAGGACCAGACTAAATCATTTTTTAAGTAAGTAATGGTTTGCAGAACACCATATGCAGAAGAATGCTATTTGAACACTAGGCATATATATAATTTTTTTGATTAGCAAAATCTTTCTTGTAATGACTTTTATTTTACATGTTTGAGTGAGTGACTCTATTGCCATTTCTTAAATCTGTAGACTATAGCTTAGCTATTATGACTGTGTTCCCGTAAGTACTGTACATAAAACAGCTTATACCTTCTAATGTACCCTGAGCCTTCCTTGTTTTCTGCTGTGTTTTTCCTCATTAGCATTACAAAATAATGCTGATGCTTTCAGCAGTGAGTCTTGTTACATTATGGTGGACCATGGGGCATTGCATTTGAGTATAGAAGATTAGAGAGGGAGTGACAAGTTGGAAACAAGATCTCCAAACAGAAAAGTTAGTGGTTCATGCCCAGAACAGAAATTGGCCAGCTTCCGAGTGGTGCTATAGAAGATGTTTAAGTTGAGATGCAAAGAATATGGTCAGTCTTTACCCTTACTGCTTGTACTCAACATCCCCCAAATAAAAGGGATTAGATTAAATTATACATAAGAAAAAAAAAGAAAGACTTCTAGTAATGTTCAGATAGATCATAGGATAATAAGAGACTTTTGTTTACTCCTTCTGGAAAATGTTTCAAAATGACCAGACAGGTTAACTAGTTTCTTAAGACTTTCCTGGCCTTGGGACTAGCAGATGGTATAATGTTACATCACTGGACTGCTACGTAGTCCGCTGCGTTTTGAGTCCTGGACCTGGCTGCTTAAAATGTTCACCATGGGCAAGGCTGGCAGGTGGTGTGGTGGTTAAGGGCACTGGACTCCAACATGGCTGACCGTGGTTTGATTCCCAGCCCTTGTAGCTTGCTCTCTCTATTTCTCTCTCTCTCTCTGGACCTCTCTGGTCAAATGAAAATAAAATAAATGAATAAATAAAGTTAAATAAAAATGTTCTTTAAAAAACAAACAAACAAAAACCAAACATGTATGTGTGTGTGGATGCCCAAGATCCCAAGAGGAGAATGGAGGAGGAGAGATTGTGGCATGACCATTGCCCCTCGGGGGTGGAGTATAATTTCTCTCTTTCTGTCTCTCTGTCTCTTTCTGTCTCCGTGGTGAGTGCATGGGGCCTATAGCAAAAATCTCCCTTTAAAAAATTAAAAAAAAAAAAAAGACATTCTTGGCCTTAAATTTCTGTTACTCATTGGGGAAAAAAAAAAGTAACTGGTGGTTTAAATCACACATAGCCCTTTAAAACGTTAAGAGCTCTCCCTTCTGTTTAGTGTCTATGATAACAGGAAGGAGAAAATCAGTGAAGACAAAGTAGAAGATATTTGGATACCTCGGGAGGACAAGAGCAGTCAGCTGATAGACTCTGCTTCCGAATCAGAGTATTCAACGGTAGAAGAATGCTTTCAGAGCTTAAGAAGAAAAAATTCCAAGGCCTCTAAATCTAGGACTCAAAAAGCATTGACTCTGGACTCAGTTAATCGGCACAGCTATCTGATAAGCTGCACGAGCGGCAATGCTGATGCTTCGGCCGTGTCCTCAAACGCAATCTCTCCCTATGCCTGCTTCTATGGAGCATCCGCAAGGAAGATTAAATCGGGGTGGCTAGACAAACTCTCTCCTCAAGGGTATGTATTGATTGGTTTTTTTTTTTTTTTTTCATAAGTCACATAGTTTAAACAATTCAGGTTTATTTATAAACTGTGTAAAGTTACTGCTCCCTTCTTCGCCTTACCAACCCCCACTCCCCTAGATTCAGTTTTAGGGACTTTCAGTACATTTTTGCAAATGCTGCTTTTTTTTAGTTATTTTTTAATTTTATTTAATTAATTAATTTATTTATGATCTGATGAGAGAGAGAGAGCGCGAGTGAATGAGCAAGCCACCCGATCCGGGACTCGAACTGTGATCAGCTATGTGGGAGTCCAGTGCCTTAACCACCATACCCCTTGCTGGCCCCAATGCTGCTCTTTTGACATAAGCCGAGTTCACGTGCATTCTGGTGCTGTGTTATGGTTCTGAATAGCCAAGGAAAATTCAAAGGCGGGACCTCCCACTAACCTCCTATACAATGCGCTGTTCCATGCCCTAATTTGCAGCAAAGAAAACACAGACTGAGTTAGTGTTACTGGCCCACACTGTTTGGCTTTTGCTCATATAGTAACAGTGTTCTGTGTGAGAAGACAAGGCTTATTGTAGTTAGGGAAAAGTATATCATTGTTGCATTTCGGTCTCCACTGTTATTGATACATTGTTCTCATTTTTGTATGGTGCACAATAGGTCAAAGTCCCTTGCGTATTATACTTTTAGGATTGTTTTATCATTTCATGTGTATGCAAAGAAACTCCTGTCCCTTAAGCATTTTATAGTACTGAGAAATCTTTAGGGAGGGATTGTGTTTAATGAGAATTGTTTTTCTGGCATCCTGTTTTTTGGATGTCTTTGTGAAATATTCACTTGTAATACTCCTCATGAGTTATTCATTTACTTAGGGATTGAGCCTCTCATTTAAGTAGCTACAATGTGCTGATTTTCTCAATTTCCCTGAACACTGAATCATTTCTAGAAAGCCTTGGTTTGATCTAAAGTAATTTTACTAACAAAAAAAATTGCTAGGAAAAAAAAAAAAACAACTATGAAATGACTGGTAGAAGCAATAATTACATTTCTTAAGAAAGTAAAAATCCCCCATATACCCAAATTCTTATGGCTAGTAATTATACCTTGAATAGTTTATACAGTTGCTTCTTTGGAAGCTTAGTACTTCTGGCTACATTGTGATGACCGACAGTCTGTTGTGTATAGTATCAATTTGTATTAGTCATTAGTGCTATTGTAAATGGTCTTCAGATTTCACCCACATGAGTCAGCACTCCATCTTGGTGTGTATGAGACAGTGGGCCAAAAAAATATTTTCAGATCTTTCATTTCTGTAAAGTTCGTGGAGGGAGATGCACGTGCTCTCTCCACGCGTCACCGGAAGAGTTAGCAGACGCTGGGTACAGAAGCCCCCAGCTGCTGTGGTTTCCTGTGTGGTCTCTGGTGGTCTCTTGATCTTTACAGGGTTGTGTGTTTACGCTTCAGGCACACGGCAAAAACGTCATCCTCATTGGCCACCTCTGGGACCGTTAGAACATTTCCCCTCTCTCTTTATCTGAACTTTGGCTTTCCATCTTTCGTATTCTGAACCCGCCTGAGGTTAGATGCTGTATGTGTTCTAGATTTATGTTTTTCCATTCTAGGGGAAATAATTGAGTTTTCTGGCTTAAGGGTTTTCTTCTGGATGCTAGGATGAATGGAGGTAAGACAGTACACCAAGGAGTTTGTTATGTCCCTAAGAAGTTTAAAATCTCTCCTATAAGACTGTCTGGAAAGTCACGATGTGTTTTTCTATGCAAAAATGTGTCATGACTTTCCCAACAACCAATGCATGATTTTATTTTTATGACTTGATCGAAATGTATGCAACTGGGGAAAAAAAAAAGCATGTATTTATTATTTTAGAAGTAGAATCCAGGCTTTTTTTTTGTTTACTAATTAGACTCTATAGGCTATTGTGAGGGTTTTTTAAGATATTTACTTGCGAGAAGATGGTATAGCAGTTACGTCACTGGACACCCACATACCAACCGTGGTTCGAGTCCTGGACCTGGTGGCTTGAAACTCATTCTGGGTGCGTGTGAGTATGTGCCCAAGATCCTAGGAGGAGAATGTAGGAGAAGGGATTGCGGTGTGGCCATGCTCCCTGGCGGGTGATGTCTCACTTTTCCTCCCACTATCTCTGCCCTCCCCTCCACCCACTCTGTGATTACACATGCCCTAAGGCAACAACCTTTTTTTAAAAAAAGATACTCATTAATTAGACAGGGTGATGTTTACTCATTCCTTTATGGAGTTTACTGAGCTTTGTTTAACTCATGGCTCTATGTGTCCTTTTGCTATAAGTATGGCGATGGTATTCTGAATTCCACAGAGCAGGTGTGAACAAACTTTTCTGTAAATGGTCAGATAATACACATTTTAACCTTTACCACCACGAGGTCTCTGTGGAACTACTCACCTCAGCAGTGGTAGCATGAAAACAGGCATAGATAATAAAGAAACTAATGAGCGAGGCTGTGTTCCAGTTAAACTTTATTAACATAGGTGGTGGGCCACATATGGACCCTGGATCCTAACGGCATGCTCCATCTTCCCGGGGTCCCAAGTAGAAAATTATGACCTGCTAGGTCACACCATGGGAAAGCTGTGTTCTTTATTCTACTCAATACAGAAGTAATAAAAAGCGGAAGTCACTTCTTGGGGGCTTTCACACTTGCTTTTCTTTCTTCCTGAAATGCTCTTCCCCCAGAGAGCAGCACAACTTGGACCTCACCTCTCAGACCCAGTTCTTCTTGCTCAGATGTCTCCTTTGCGTTTCTGCCTCGACCATCCAATGGAACTGTCAGCTGACCCTCTCGGCCACCGTATTTTCACTCCCTAATTATTTCATTTTATTCTGTTCTGCTAGATGATACATTTGTTTTATGAAAGCCCCTATGGGAAAACTCCTGTACCTTGCCTGTATTTTGTACAATGTTCTTAGTAGAATATTACTCAGCACATGGTAGGTGTTTAGGATTTGTGGCTGGGTAAATCAGTCACAACATTGACCTTTGACTTTTTTTCTTTTACTTTTGTAAAGCCACCTTTTACTTTTTAACTGGGGATTTTGTAGTACAAACTGCCGAGCTCAACACCGTATTAGTGGATGAAAATACCAGGTGCTTTGTTAGCATTGGCATACATTAACTCTCAGTGTTATTTTTTTTTTTTTTACGTGATTATGTTTTCCCCTTGAAAATGCTTAGATGAATGATCCAAACAAGCACATCCTAGTTTACACTTTTCCAAAAGCTGTTTGTAACCATTCTTTGTCATAAAGAGCATTAAACAACATAATGACGTTGATAATCTGCATTAATTTCACATGATTTCACCAGAAGGTAGAAACTACCAGTTGTAAGCTTGGGTTGAGCAGAGGACTAAGAAAAACAAGAGCCAGTGGTCAAATACTGAGAAAAGGTCAGGCCCTAGATAGCCACTGGGAGTCAGCCCCCTCGAGTCCAGAACCCATGACTGGTGGGAATTCAAGCTTACGTGGTCTGTGCGTTTGCTGGTAACTGATTTCACAGCCAGCGTCCGGTCCAGGAGGCTACTTCAGGGGCACGTTGCCCAACCTGACACCTAGGTGTTTGAGTGCCTCAGATCTCCTGGCGATTCTGCCCTGTGGCTGTCTTTTCAGCACAAGAGACAAATATTACGGAAAGTTGACAGGTCTCTATCTGCCCAGGGTGTTGGTATCAGTCACCTGGTTGAACATAAAATTGAATCTTCAATCCCTCATGAAAGGATATTCTCATACCAGCAAATGAGTTGGCCCTTTGTCAAATTGCGTGTCACTTGTAAAGCTTGTGCCAAGGCAGTAAAAAGCTTCCATATTTTATTTGTAGTTTGAGGGGGAACCTTGTCAAGTGTTGTTGTCCATTAAAATAACATGGTTAATTTCCTTCAGCCAGTCTAGCTGCAGAAAAATGAATAAGGGTATTGGAATAAAACCGACTGAAATTAGAGTGGCCAGGACATCATTTATTTTCCGGGTGACTCAAGTTCTTGAACCTTCCTTTCCCTCATCAAAATGTAAGATCAAGACTTGCTCTATGGGATCATTTAGAAAAATAAGTAACTTTGCACCTGACACTTAATTAGAGCTCAATAAACCTCAGTTTTCTCTCCCTTCAGAAGAGCACCATTTTACTGCAGGTGGCCTTCGCTAACATGACTAAAAGTGACTGCTAGTCAGTTCTCACCCTGAAAAATAGAATGGAAAGAAATCATGGGTTCGCAGTGAACTTTTAAAACTCAATTTTTTTGGTTGTTATAAAAGCGCATAGTTTGAGTCAGAGAGTGATGACTTATCAAAAGAACACAGCAGCTTTTTTTTTTTTTTTTCTCCTCTCATTTCTGGACAAAAGGGAGGTGCGTTTAGCTCCTTTAGTAGATTGTTTGGGGATTTCTGTTGTATATCTTAATATTTTTATTCTTTCAATATTAGGAATGACCTGTTGATGTACCCCCATTGAAAGATGATGTTTGTTTATTTTATTTCTGCCTCTTCCTTTCCTTCCAGCAGACACAATTCCTGTCATCCTTTCAATATAGCTATATAACGTACTCAGATTGTATCTGTTACATAGTCTTAGTGTTACAAATGCTACTCATATTTGAGCTGTGTAGATTATGCAATTAATTTCTATTTCACTTACAACTTTTATTTTTTTCTTGGATGAATATATATATATATATATACATTATATTATATTAATATATGTATATACTTATTTATTGCAAGGGGCCGTATGCATCTTCCAGTGAGAGAGAGAGAAAGAACCCCAATGGGGAGTGGGCATGCTCAGTTCGTTCCCCTCCATTTCTCTGTCCTGTCAGGATTTTACACATGCGCATGCCCGGCATGTTTTTCAAGCCATTGGAGCCAGGGTTTGAACCATGAAGGCTACGTGATATCTGGCTTTCTATGAGCTGTGCTCAACTACCGCTCCAGGGCTGGTGCTGGTTACTTGTTTCATG